TCGGCTGCCAAAGTCTCCTTTCCCTTAGACCGCTGGGCATTTTGCTGATTGCGTTGCTACTGCGGCTTGGGTTATGGTACTTCTTCAGCTTTGATTCGCACCACTATCTCTTCAGCTTGTTCTCCTTGTGAAACTAGTTGTCTCCAGGAGCGACATTCTGCCACCCCTATTTGAGCAAGGAGTTGGGTCTGCAGGTTGTGCCTGCAAGTTTCAACCAGAGTTGATTAGGTCATACCTGAGGGGCATCGTAATGCCATGATGCGGAATCTCTCCACATAGGCCTTGATGGACTCTCCTTTCCTTTGCTTAGTGGCGAGAAGAGTTGGGACTGAGACCTCCGTATCGTCCTCAAAGAACCTGGCCAAGAATAGCCTTTCCAGGTCTACCCATTTCTGGATAGATCCAGCAGGCAGCTTCATGAACCATTCGAAAGCGACACCTTTAAGAGTGCCGATAAACAAGCGCGTCAGGATGGCATCATTTGCTACCACATCCCCTGTTTGGGACTTGAAGTAGTAGATGTGCTGATTTGGCGATCCTGTGCCATCAAACGGTTGTAAGGTAGGGGCCTTAAATTTCGGTGGGTAGGGAGTTGTATCCCACTCAGCAGGGTAAGGCCGCACTACTCCCTCTTCGCGGAGCTCGCTTCAGTTGGCGACTGCATTGAGGCGAGCTTCCAGTTCATCCACCTTGGTAGATTGAGGGTGCAGTTCTTTCTCCATCTCTCTCTCACCTTCGGAAGAGGATCCTAGGTGGTGGGTCTCACGATCCGAATGTTCGGTCGCTTTTTGTCACGCCCCGCTTCCCAAAATACCGGGGAATCGGGACGCGAACAAGCCCGTGACGTATTATACTGAGAAGAGATAAGTGCTAGACCCCGTCTTCTCAATCTAATACGCTAAGCGTCAAGAAATACAAACAATGCGAAGTCACAGGTCCCCGATCACACATAGCAAGAATACAATGAACAACTCAGAATGAAAAAGATACATATCACAAATGAATATCATCCAAGACATAACATTAGGGTCAAACATGCCCTTATACAAGACTATCTGAACGAAATACTAAAAATATAAAATACAATGATCCAGCGGAAAGAAATGCTATAAAAAGAAAACTAGGATCAAATAACTAAGCTTCAACTTCTTCTGCTACACCGTCTTCAAGGTACTCATGCTGTGAATCCTCTGGCTCCTGCTAAACCTGCTCTTCTCCTAAGTCTGTTAGAGGCATGCAACTGGAATACTAATAATCAGAAGAATCTAAAAATCAACCAAGTAACAAGATCATGTAGGTAGCGATCAGAAACCATCCAATCAACAAGATCATACAATAGATAGAATTAATATTTAAAAATCTACAACAAGAGACGTAGTACGTCGAGCGAAATAATCCAAACAAGGAAACCCTTATGTATATACCATATGTCTCAAATTGTAAATAATTAAATATTAATCCCGATCTATGTATGGAAAGAAAACAACTAGCCATCCTACCACAACTCACTGGTTCACATCTCACACAGAGTCAAAGTTCACATTATCGGATATCTGGTTAACAACCACATCTCACTAGTACCTCAGACCCGCCCCAGTGCGAAACGATTCACTGGTGCGTGCCTGGAAATAATCAATAATCACAATATCACCGCTCATCAGACCCACCCCAGTGCGAAACGAATAAACAATACACATCCGATCACTGCTCCTCAGCCCCCCCCCAGTGCGAAACGATTCACTGGTGCGAGCCTAGAAATAAACAACAACATATCCGATAACATGAACCCAGACCTTCCCATCCCAAGTCCAAGTCAACAACTCATACCTCACGGGTCACTATGGTCAAGCAATACTCGTGATTCTCAACTATAACAATGTATAAAAACAATGAATACTATGTAACAGTGTCATGAATCATGAACAGGAAACGTGAACAACTACAAAAAAACGTGCAAGACAGAACTACAACTATCAAATAATTATGCATGAAATCACGCAAATTCCAATCGTCATGATCATAAATTTATTTATTCCAAAAATTCTTTTAAAAATTCTCTCTCGTTATATTAATTCAAAACTAACCACTTTTTCAAAATCAACTTCTTTTCTTATAACAATAATTTTAAAATAAATCTAAAAATATTCTTTTTATGAAAAGTGTCTCGTAATTAATATCATTCATCAACAAACTCACGCAGGCAATTACATATCACAGTCTAATCCATGAAATTAATTACTAACGGATATAAATAATGGAATATCAAATCAAGGGAAGCGGGATCTTGCCTCGGGGTTCGTCGAACGAATCGATGTTGACGACGTGGGTCTGATCTGAGCAAGGGCAGCGGGGTCAGTGGACTGTCCGACGACGGCTTGAAGGCGGCGACAACGCTGGATCTCAGCGAGGGCTCGGTACGACGATGGGGGTAGTGACTGGAGGTTGACGAGGAGAGGCGGTGGCGCCGATGCGGACGCGGTACGACGGATTCTCAAGCGACGTCTGTGGCGGGTCTGGACTGCGTCGGCATATCGTCGAACAGGTGGCGTGCGACGAAGGAGAGGCGGAGCGACGAGAGGGGGGGCGGATCTAGGCGGAGGTGGTGGT